TGTTCTGACCACAACCTCAAACTCTGTTGTTCAATGCCATTCTTAAACTCCCTAAGCATGTCGCTGGTTTTAGGTAATAGGTAGCCTTAGCTAGAGGTTCCAATGCACACCTTATGCAGTAGAGTCGGCTTTTAGGAGTCTTATTTTAAGCACCTGGAGTGATTTCTGGTTTATCATTTATTCTTCCAGAAAAGATCTTACTCTCTTAAGGAACGGGATGTCTATAGAGGTGGATGAACACCAATGTTGAAGTCTTCTGCCACCACCCATTGTTTCACCAGAGCATATCTTGGATTCAGTACTTCTAAGTTCATACAGTGATGTGTACTAGAGTAGTGTTGAAACATCTTATTTGAGATTATGTATCTACTCCCCGAATGCTATAGAGCTGATTTCAATGTAGATTCATAAATTCCCTTTGTCTTTTAAGTGGACAGGATTTAAGTGGAAGTATTTAAGCTCTTTAAGTGGAAGTATCTTAAACTTGGATGGGATTAGGGTCCTGGCACCTGATATTCAAGATTTGGCAGAGTACTGAGGTCACACTCCTGACCCAGGATCAACATGTAGCTAGCTATACCACCTTAGTTCAAACAATCCTGGATGGGACCTCAAGATGTAGTGTGGCCGTCCATTAGGGAAATCCCTCTTCCTTACTTGTCGGGCAATTTCTTTACTGTCCACAGGTTTTCTTCACTAGAGAAACTGATATGATTTCTGTGGAAGCCTTCAGACTAAGGGCCTCAGCATAGCTCTTGCCTTTAATGCCAGTTTCCAACATGTCACCTCTGGATGGTCCGCGAGTGAACCTAGATACAAAATCCAGTTTCTTTACTCCCAAATCATCTCATACCAAGTATTTCTCAATATTTATGGGAGGGCCAGAAGTTTTGTTGGAGGATCCACCTCATGCAACACAGAACATTCAGCAATCTCTTTGCTCTCCTGTATCCTGCTGCCTTTCCCCCATGTCTGTTAGGAACAATATTTATAATCAATCAAATTGCATTGCTGGGCTCACTTTGATTGAAAAATACCTGTAAAATACAATACTAATACACATATTTTTATGGTCCTGGTATTTCCTTCTAGGATTTCAGTTGGGCTTACTATATTGAAGCCTCACTTTTAGATTTCTGAGTTTCAAAAACCTAGGCATGAAGGGGTTGGGCATGATTCCTGTGCATCAATGATGCCTGTGGGAAATGCCTGGCCATTGAGGACTGGAGGAGCCACAGAAAAAAACAGGGAGAGACCTCCCTGGTGGCACAAGGGGTTAACAGTCAGCACTATGAAGCAATTGGCAGCCACTGCAGCACAACTCTTCAACCACACTTGTAACCTATGAGAAAATGACTGGGTTTGTGCCATCTCTGCAGATGATGGGCTTTACCCACTACATTTTGACTTTCCTGAATTTCTTATAAAAGAAAACTTGAACTTCAGTTTTGAGACTTCTCTTTAGAGCCACACCTGATTATAGCTAATGTTTTTATGATAGCATTTATAGCCTTGAATTTTGTTCAAGATTAAATTTTTGAGATTACAAAAATAACTCATGTTTCTGTAAAAAATTTTTTTTAAAGATTTATTTATTTATTCGTACAGAACTGGGGTACAGGCCAGAGATGCGGAGGGTGAGAGGATTCACCAGAGACAGAGTGGGGAGCAGAACAGGCAGACTGATGAAGTACACTGATGAGGGGAACAGCAGGCGGGTCAGGAGAGGTCTGCCTTGCCATGTGGATCTCCTCCAGGGCAGGAATTGAACTCATGCGGAAGTGGCTTAAGCTTCTTTGTGCTGTGCTTTAACCCACTGCGCCACCAGGGAGGGCCCTGTAAAAATATTTTTAAATTACAAACTATGCCAAAAAAGAACATTCCTTCCACGCTTTCTCCCACTCCATAGAAATAATCATTGCTAATACTTTGGTGTACACTCTTGCAGATGCTTTCCTGACTTAATGTTGATAGAGTTTTTGCCCGTTGTTGAACTCACTTTTAAAATTTCAGGATATTTTTGTCCATAGAGAGAAAGCATATGCCACAAATATTTGTCTTTTCTTTAATGTTCGATTTATTAAACATGTATCTGTAAACAAAATTTAGAAAAGTAAATCTTTACCATTTAAACACTGATTACGAACTTCATAACATTTCCTTAAACAATTTAAACACAATAACACTTTAATAAGATGGTTCTTTTGAACACACTACAAAATAAACACAAACATAAGACTTACTTGTCATTATACTTAACAACATGGATTCAACTTGTCACTTCACTGCTTTTTTACTTGTTCTTGTTTTCTCTTAGGAATAAGATATTTTCTTAAGGTTGCTAAAATACTTCTTTTGATATTCTCCTTGGTTTTTTTGAAATTTTGATGACCCTTCCTTGCTTCCTTTCCTCAAAAGAAATAGTCTCTAGTAGCAATTGCATTGAGATTATGGCATTGGCTTTCTCCACAGATTGCTTCATGCTGGGAACTCTGATGTTTATCCAAGGAGCCATCTTTGTTTTGTAAAACTGTTACCACAATAAGTCTTATAATGTTTGTATTTTCTACATCAGTTTTTAGTTTCTGCAATCTTTCTCCCCTTGACCAAAGTTATGAACCCCCTTCTTCTGTCATTATGATATATTGACTTGTTGTGTTAGTATTATTAAGAAATGATGCATACGTTATTAATGTTCATTATAGGCAAGGGGACATCTAAAGGATTTGTCTCCCAGGAGAGAAACACATCAGTGTTTCTCACTAGGACATTGGCTCTATCACCATCTCAGGAGTCCTTTTCCCTTTGGAGATAAAGGGAGAGCACCAGCGCTGGCCAAGGGATGAACCATCTTCCTACCTAGTTATCATGTGTTACCACGTGTGCTGATCAAGACTTCCTTTTTGGGGAGTGATTACTCTTTTCCTGGAACTATTTTCCTCACACCCAGTTTCAGTTTTAATCCTTTTCTGTTTACCTATGGAAATGAGCATTTATCTGTTCATTATAGATAGGTACATACTTAGAAAAAACAGGCTCATGTGTATATAGTAATACAAGACAAACACAAGAATTATTGTCATTAAGGTTAAATCTATTTTAAAACACTAACAACATGAAAATCACTTCATTGTTTTTCACTTGCTCTTGTTTTCTCTTAAGAATAGAATAAGGTATTTTCTTAGGGTTGCTAATATGCTTCTTTTGATGTTTTCTTGAAATCTTAAAATCTATTAAAAACTTCAAAAGTTATAAAGCAGGCCCTCCCTGGTGGCGCAGCGGGTTAAAGCACTGCACTGAGAAGCTAAAGCCACTTCCGGATGAGTTCGATTCCCGCCTGCCCCGGAGGTGACCA